GTTGTGGGTGGGTAATGTATGCGCCTGAGTGCAACCCTCCCCACCGGCGCCCCACTCCACGCAGGTAGGGTCAATAATAAACTAAATTAACTCTGGCCTCCAACCAAGTACATGAATATATTTGGCAACGTATTAAAAGCATGACGTTGGTTGTGTGTTGTGAGGCAAAATAACATTGAATAACATATTGATCAAATAACATCTAGTTCTTTTGATGGCTCTCAACATTCACGGTGACCATCATCATCTCTCCCACTTGTCTCAGGATCACTCATGTTTTATGGTTCTTGTTTATTTGTCGTTTGCCTGTTTCCTTTATTGTCTCTTCCTATAGCAACCTAGCCTCTTAATATTACTACCTACAGCTACTATGGATACGTATGAAATATGCTCTCTTGAACTGAAGAAAGGTCCACGTTTTATACTATTGATTTTGAAGGTAGTTCGAGAAAAGAATCAAACTCAACCATTCCCAGGCCTAGTACAGCACATGCATGTACTAAATTAGGCCTTCGATGGCTAAATTTGATCCAGGAGACGCTGCAGTTGTTGTCACGCCGTTTAGCATGCCACTACAATGATTGTTGTACCTTGTGGCAGGAACGAGTCGCCCAATCTGACGACCGACTGCTACAAGCGCCCCGCGGCTCCAAGGGACGCCGGCACCTCCCCCTCGTCCCGTAATATTGATGAGCATTCCTGCCGTCCTCGCCGGGCAGGCCACGACGCCGGTTACCTGTGGGAGAGCTTCCTGCATTCTCCAAGACATCACGAGGGCGACGTGGCGGCCGAGGTGGCGGCCGAGGGCGACAATATTAAAGTTCACGCCAAAATCGTTAGCACTATCGTGTAACTGGAAATAAGCGAGGCATTTCAAGCTAGCGTTACCTTCCCATCCCATCCCAAATCCTGACCCCTTCCCAGTGCGGGACCGGGACGTCCACCTCCCGGGGGTCGTGCGGCCCAGGCTCTGCTTCAGGAGGCTGGGATCGTTCATACCCTTGATGGGGTGGTTCTTCTCCGGCCCCGACCACGGCGGTCTCCGGGTTGGAGGTCCTTGTGCCCTTCTTCACCACCTTCGAGGTCAACCCCGGAACTCACAGTACCTGCGACGGCGCTGGAACCAATCTTACTGGCGTATGTCTTTCCATTGGAGACTTTCAGCGCCATGGAGAGGGGGGACCTGCTGCCTGGGTAACAGCTTCTTCCCGAATCAACCTACCCTGGCTTTGCGCCCTGGTGAGGCCACTCCAGACCGACAACCAGAGCGCAACTCCATAGTCTCCCGAGACTGATGGATGCCTACTACTATAGTCGTAATGGTCTGGTGCTTTCCCCTGACAGTTCCCTTCCCTTATCAGGTGGTCGTAAATGAGTCTCGATACTCAGCACTCGACCTTTGAACTCTGAACACGAGCTGGGTCATACTCTCCAAAAAAATTCTGCTAACTGCTGCGTTCTAGAGGATATTCTAATAATCTATTCAACGTTTGCCGGTACTGGGAATTTAGTGTGACAACTGCGTAACATGTGTAACTGTGATAACATGTGATAACTGTGTAACAAGCTGTGTAACACTTATTATAGTTGAGAACAGCCGGAATAACACACACTAAGAATGTTATTCCCCGCACCTTAGTGCCTCACACTCGTGGTGGTGACAGGGTCACGCAGGAAACTTCATTTGCCCCCAGTCAAGAACAATGCCAAAAACATTCTGACACTCTTGGAATATAATGAATATCCATCTTGCCATTTCGCAGCATAATCATGCCATGGTGTACGCGTGTCTCCTTGCGAAGTCCAGCAACCCACTCGAAACCCCCACACTGGTTATTATATAGTTTCTTCTTTCCAAGTGGTGAGCATTTTTAACATTTTGGTGAACATGGTCTTCTGCTGGAGGGTGTGTGTACATGGTGGTGATGACGGTCCATGGCCTGTCTTATGTTCATGCTCGTGTGGGGCGGCAACTGGGGGGGGGGTGTCCCCAGTGTGGGGGCAGCAGCTGGAGGTGTGTCCCCCAGTGTGGGGGCAGCAGCTGGGGGTGTGTCCCCCAGTGTAGGGCAGCAGCTGGGGGTGTCCCCAGTGTGGGGGCGTAGTGGGCTAGACAATGGGTTGCGCAGTTTACGTGCCGTCCGCCACGAGAGGCACGGTCACATGTGCGTGTCTAGCTGTTTTCTTCATTCATGTGCTTACTCCCCGGACCAGTTTTGGTTTCCTCCTCTCCATCACCCCTACCCTCCCCCCCCCCTCTCGTCTTCTCCCATTCCCTCCCTTCTCACCTCTCCCTTCTCCCTCACCATGCATCAAGTAGATCATATTGCGCATCTATCTATACCTGCTTGATGGGGTTCTGGGAGTTCTACTCCCCAAGGCCCGAGGCCAGGCTTGACTTCTCAGAGTTTGGGCCACCAGGCTGTTGCTTGGAGCGGCCCGCAGGCCCACATACCCACCACAGCCCGGTTGATCCGGCACTTCGTTTAAGAAACCTATCCAGTTTTCTCTGAAAGATGCCCACGGTTGTTACCTAATGACACATCAACCATCTTGCCCCCACAAGCCAACCGACACGTGTCCCGCTAACCAACCACTCCACCAACAAATGTACGGTAATGGGCAGCACTTGGAGCTCTCCTCCACCAGCAGCAGTTGGACATCATCCCACTTCCGTGAGCCAGTCCTCATTTACACACGCACGCACACTCACCAACACAGTTGCTCTACACACCTGCTTGTATCTCACCAGCTGTGGTGTCCCCAGTGTGGGGGCACCACCTATATGTATGTAGGTTAGGTTATTATAAAAGCACTACAATCACCTTCTGTGGTTGATTGTTCAATAAATCACTTAACTATATGTTTAACAGATCTCTCACCCTATCCATGGAGGACAGAAGAAAATGTATATATATGCTGAGTATGTATTTTTATGTACGTTTGCATACGAATTTATATTTTATAATATATATATATATATATATATATATATATATATATATATATATATATATATATATATATATATATATATATATATATATATATATATATATAGCTCTCTCTCTGCCTGCGTCTTCTATCTGCCTGTCAATATCACTATTAATATAAGAGCATATGTACGTGTTTGGAGTTGAAGCACAACAACAATCTGCCAGACTAACTAGAAATGTTAAATGAAATAATAACAACAATTATAATATGAAGTAAGTATGGCAGGAAAGGCAAACAAATCCTAAAGTATGTTTCTCCAGAGATAGCAAACTAATTTTCATGGAGAAAACTGGCCCTCTTGAAGAATAAGACGGGTTAGGTCGTATTCTTGTCTTGGGCTTATTCTTATTCTAAATATTTTAATAATGTAAACATTTGTGTGTGGTATTTTAAACAAGTACTTTGTTTGTGTATTTACTAAACAAGAATTTAATATGGTTACAGCTGAGCAAATTTACGTAGGTGGCGAATAGGAGAATTATTATTGTTTAGCCAAGGAGGAAGTTACTTAACAAATACAACAATTAAATCCCATCAAGTCGCAAGGGCCAGACGAAGTATTTGAAAAGGTTCTTAAAGAATGCACAGAACAGCCTACTGAGCCCTTGTCTTGCATATTGAATGAATCATTAAGAGTCTAGCTCAGTACCAGAATCTTACGAGGGTTGCAAATGTGGCTCAGATTGTTAATGAGGGAGATCGATCACCCGGCATCGAACTATCGCCTAATGAGCTTCACGTCAATGTTAAGAAAATGCTCGAATCGAAAAAGCCGTTCCTTACATCTTAAAAAAAGATTATTTACAACATGCTATAACACTTTTATTCTCATTTCCAATGTGTTGTCAACTTTTGACATTGAAAAAGATTGGCTAAAAAATCAACGTCACACAATACTGGGTTATCCTAAGGCGTATTAAGCGTGGTAATGCAGACCATGTCACAATAATACTCTCAGTAACGTGGCTGAAGATATGATGACCAGACCACACACCATACGATGAGCAGACGACCACGTTTCGGTCCGTCCTGGACCAATTATCAAGTCGATTGTGATTGTCTAAGACAATCGACAATTTCGGTCCAGAAGGGACCGAAACGTGGTCGTCTCCTGATCTTCTGGTATGGTCCATGGTGCCCGGTGGGAAGGATCGAAGGGGTAAAACGGAGAGAGAAGACATTGGAAGAACGAGTGTTGGGGAGGTGAACGATGAAGCAGGTGAAGCCACAAGGGGTTATGAAGGAGATCGAGGGGATGAATCTTGGAGAATACAAGAGAGGGGTTGAGAGAGATGAAAGGTGACAAGTTATATCACCGCCCCCGCCACTCAAAAACAAACACACACACAAAGTATAACAACTAGGTGAATACACACACACACACACACACACACACACACACACACACACACACACACACACACACACACACACACACACACACACACACCGACTTCTCTTAATATTATATTGCCACAGGTCATTGTCTGCACATATTCACGCCGATGTGTACTATATCCACACACAGGACTCTTTACGCAACAGCAAGAGGTAAGAGAGCAGCCGTCAGCGTGACCGAGCAAGTTACAAGCCGCTGCCACACCACACAATGTGCTCCAAAGGCGTAACATTTACATTTAAAACTCACTTTTATTAAACCAACCACAAGTCTAAACACGCACTATTCAACCCTCGAGTTACCAAAGTAATTCAAGATAAGAGTTTCTTTATATGTTGTAGGTCTAATTTTAGTAGAGCTACATTTTATATTGAACTGATCTTTATTAATCTATTTTTTAAACGGAAATTAATACCACTAGAGTATAACAGTCTTCAAGTAAGTGTTTTGGCTGTATCAGTCAGTGATAATTGTTAAAGGCGGATCTTCACCTGCTGAAGCTAAGGCCTACTTAGTGTTAATGGTAATTGAGGGAAGGTTCATTGGGTCATTTATAACACTTTATCATTTGTTTTTTAATGCAAGTGTATAAATAACATAGTCGCAGATGTGTGTGTGTGTGTGTGGCGAGGGTGGGGCGCCGCCCCCAGCCGCGCGCCAGGCCCGCGGTAGTAATCCCCGCTCCCATCTTGTTTGGCCGACTGGTGCAGGCTCAAGCCGCCTGGTGCAGGCTCAAGCCGCCTGGTGCAGGCTCAAGCCGCCTGGTGCAGGCTCAAGCCGCCTGGTGCAGGCTCAAGCCGCCTGGTGCAGGCTCAAGCCGCCTGGTGCAGGCTCAAGCCGCCTGGTGCAGGCTCAAGCCGCCTGGTGCAGGCTCAAGCCGCCTGGTGCAGGCTCAAGCCGCCTGGTGCAGGCTCAAGCCGACTGGTGCAGGCTCAAGCCGACTGGTGCAGGCTCAAGCCGACTGGTGCAGGCTCAAGCCGACTGGTGCAGGCTCAAGCCGACTGGTGCAGGCTCAAGCCGACTGGTGCAGGCTCAAGCCGCCTGGTGCAGGCTCAAGCCGCCTGGTGCAGGCTCAAGCCGCCTGGTGCAGGCTCAAGCCGCCTGGTGCAGGCTCAAGCCGCCTGGTGCAGGCTCAAGCCGCCTGGTGCAGGCTCAAGCCGCCTGGTGCAGGCTCAAGCCGCCTTGTGCAGGCTCAAGCCGCCTGGTGCAGGCTCAAGCCGCCTGGTGCAGGCTCAAGCCGCCTGGTGCAGGCTCAAGCCGCCTGGTGCAGGCTCAAGCCGCCTGGTGCAGGCTCAAGCCGCCTGGTGCAGGCTCAAGCCGACTGGTGCAGGCTCAAGCCGACTGGTGCAGGCTCAAGCCCCCTGGTGCAGGCTCAAGCCGCCTGGTGCAGGCTCAAGCCCCCTGGTGCAGGCTCAAGCCGACTGGTGCAGGCTCAAGCCGCCTGGTGCAGGGTCAAGCCCCCTGGTGCAGGCTCAAGCCGACTGGTGCAGGCTCAAGCCGCCTGGTGCAGGCTCAAGCCGCCTGGTGCAGGCTCAAGCCGCCTGGTGCAGGCCGGGATGTTGACCTGTAGATTCTTTACGTGTTCCATATATCTGGGTAGTTGGTCTACCGTTTAGTAACTGCATCCACCGAGCCCTAAATGACTTGGGACCCAGTTAACGACTCCTCCCCCCCCCCCTTCCCTGCCCATATACTGGTGGAAGAGGCGGGCTGCGCATGCCTCAAGGGGCGCCCACAGGGACGTGACAATTACCACGAGGTAGTCCAGGTAATCAACGTCATATAACTATCACGATGTCACACACTCGTTAAACCTCCGCTACCTGTTGCCAGGTCACGCAGGGGTCAAGCCAATGCTGGTTCAAGTATGTAACTTGCATTTGCCAGGGTATACAAGGTAAGGAAATGTTTCCGCAAGTCGTACTAGATTTGGTTAAGCAATAATAGCCTAGATGACCAGACCAACCATCAGAAACCCCCTGAACAGAGACCGGGCCGCAGTGATATTGATCCTCGTAACCACTCAAGGTAACATACCTCAAGGGCTCCAGGTTAGACGAGGTATACTCTATGATGCCAGGTTAGCCCTGAGTGTACACGACGGGGGCAAGAGTGCGCCAGGTTAAGCTAGGTCGTACCAGGACATACCACTTAGTGCCAGGCACCAGCCTAGATGGTGCCAGCTGTCAGCGTGCCACAACCAACACATTACCATCGTGACTGTCACACCAGTTACTTCCTGCCAGAGAAACGCCTTCTAACGTCATCAGCTTTTTGACACGACTTGACACTCTTTGCCCCCCCCCCTACCCTTCCCCCCCCCCACCACACACACACGCACGTGCGGGTGACAATGCAGTGTGGAATGACGCAATATGCACGAGGATAAAATGCACGGGTGGAGGACGGGACAATGCACGGGAGGAAGAAATGCGCAACATTCTAGATATTCACAATTCACATTCAGACAATACCGCCCAACTCCAAGAATGCACTTTGCGCAGGACTCTCCCTTGCAGCAGAATGCAGTAGTGGGTTGATCAACAGAGCAGGGACCAGGGAAGACCCGGCGCCAAGATGCACAGGCTCGCGCTCTCTACTCTCTGAACTTGTCAACAGGAAGTGGTGTGGAGAGGTGGGGCAGGAGAGGGGAGCTGGAGGATGGGTAATGGGTGGATAGGGAGGGGAGGCGAATGGGAGGGTGGAGGGGCAGGGAGAGGGGTGGGAGGGGACGGAGAGGGGGTGAGAGGGGGCAGAGAGGGAGGGCAGAGCCAGTGCCAGCTGAGACCCCCCCCCCCCCTTGCACCACCTGACAAACATACACGGTATATATACCCTCCGCCACACCTCCAAGCAATGTAGATCGCATTCACTCCAAACAATCTACCACTTAGACCACTTATATCGCACTGGACGCACGATCCTGTGGTCCCGGGTTCGATCCCGGGCGCCGGTGAGAAGTAATGGGCAGAGTTTCTTTCACCCTGATGCCCCTATTACCTAGCAGTAAATAGGTACCTGGGAGTTAGTCTGCTGTCACGGGCTGCATCCTGGGGGGGGGGGTGGACGCCTGGTCGAGGACCGGGCCGCGGGGACACTAAAGCCCCGAAATCATCTCAAGATAACTTACGGGCTACTCATGCCCGTGCCACCTCTTGCGTGGCTTAATCTTCATCTATCATCAACCCTCCACGCAACGCTCTCGACCCAACTTCCACACCTCGTGGCACTATCTCACTCTCTCTCTTCCCCATCAAATATAATATGTCTCTGGTCATTCCTTTCTCAACCGGCATTGTGAGCATAATACAATCACCTGTCAATACTCCCCGTCTAAAACCTTCCGTGTTTCACATCTTCTTGACAAACTGCACAGCAGGAACTCACAGGAAACATTCTCTGTAAACATGTATGCAGCTCCGAGAAAAATACTCTTAATCAGATCAAGGACCTTATCACCCGGAACCACGACGATGGTTACTCAGGAGATAACCCTTAAACTTAGCACGGTGAAGACGCCACACCTTGGCCCAAGGTGTGGCGTCACACCCACAAGACAAGTGTCGTGCGGGAAGACCCAAGACACACACACATTCCGGGCCACACACTGAGGAATGTGATCATTGTCACCCGGAACACGGCCAGGGATCCCAGTCATGTTGCAGTCTGCGGGACGTGTAGGCTAACGTCTCACTTCTCTCTGGCCAGATATTAGATTTTTTCCTTTTTTTGGCGTTCTCTGGCATGTATTAATACGTGTGATTACGAGAACTTCAGCAGTTATACTTTTTTTTTGGAGTACATACCGACGGAAAACCTGTCCACATCTATCCAACTCATCTTCCACAAATCTTAGTACTTGTAGCAACCATTGGGCGAAGATGCATGAATTAACGGTAGTACTTAAAAAGTTCACGTCTTGTACTACTGGAATACTTCAGATGGCATGCACAAAATTGGAACGTTAACTATGAAGCCTATAACCTGTTCTAGGTTAAGCCATCCTAGGCGCAATTTCATTCATGTCTGTGCTACACTAGGCTTAGTGAGAGCTATACTAGGCTTAGTGAGAGCTACACTAGGCTTAGTGAGAGCTATACTAGGCTTAGTGAGAGCTACACTAGGCTTAGTGAGAGCTATACTAGGAAGCAGAGCACAAAGGAAAACATAAGGTATACCTGACAGTGTGAGGGAGAAGCAGAGAGACAATCTGGCAACAATAGGGCGTTTAAATCACAACTCCAGATCTCTTGCATAAACATATTAGGACTAACTAAACGACCTGGTTGTCACACTTTCAAAATAAACTAACAAATTTACATGGAAACACAAGAGGTTCTTGCCATTCTTAAGACTTTAAAAAAAAATCCAGTAACCGTAACAATTATACTACCACAGCTACCCAAGTATAATTGGTCAATAACTGACTTAGGTGCTCTAGTAACGGAGCCAGAAGTGATATGATGCCAGAGGAAACTTGGCAAATCAAAAACAATAAGACTAGAGGGAATATTATTACGAGTATTTGAAAAATTGTAGAAATACAGTCAAATCCAAATGGTTGCGCTACACACCACCACCTACACCAACAAGACTAACACGTGCATGGAAACTGGACGATGAGAGGGCAGAGACCCACAAGTGGAGACAAGAGCCACTAAACTACAGGTCGGTGTCACTCACCAACATTCAGTATAACATACTGCAAAAGTAAATCAGAAACAAGCTGGTGGAAGTCTGTAGAACACTTAGATATGATATCACAAGAGTCATCTCATAGCCTCCGGCAAATATAAAGATCCAGGGCCGTGTTACACCAAGGCTGTCTCTAGGAGACCAAATAAACTCAAACGTCTTAAACAAAATTAGCTGATTTAAGAAGACCCGTTAACAAGTAAAGCAAGGAGGCACGGAAGGCACCGGGTACAACCTACGTAAGGCCAAAAACCAGAATATGCAACGCCTGCGTGGCGCCTACACCTCCTGAACCATAAATACAAACTTGACTAACTCCACAAATATGCCACTAGAATGTTATCATAAATAAACAAGTTTAGAACAGTAGATCATAAAACGCGACGACAGTAACGGAAACTGTGGACAAACGAGTCGCAGAAATATATGGAAATATTAACAACGTAAAAGCAGTAGTGAAGGTGAACTCCGCCATGAGTCTGGACACTCCCACAGACGAGCGGGCTACCACCTTACAAAACAAAATGTCGAACTAGGAAAATGCTAAAGGTGTGAAACGAGACTTTTGTAGAACTGTATTCATCAGACTTAAGACTAGAGGTTACGAGAGCCGCACCTCATCAGACTTCACGACAGGGAACAGCGCCGTGTTAACAACATACGATTCTCAGGGGAATTTAGGGCAATAAAGAGAACATGTTCAGTTTCAGTGTAACGGTTGTGATCTAATGGAATGGACTAGTGGGGACCTAGAAGTTAATACAATAAATAGTTTCGGAAGAACATATAACTGTATTAAGACAATCAAGAACTGCTAAAGCCAGGCTCAACAGCTAGTACTCGACCCATCAAATCATATTTAGGCGACTACAAACAAAAAAACTAAACTGTACAAGACAGTAATCTTGTCTAGTACATGACGACCTTGACTACACACCCGCTGACCAGGAGGCGACGCCAGCAAAAACAGTCAACAGTACAAATATAGAGGCGGTACGGTGGCAACAGCAGCAGTAGTAGTGTGTATTTACACAAGGAGGAGGAATGCGTGCACCTGAGACACACCGCTACATCGCCAACTACTACCACGTCTCAAGTTCTTCACCCAAGTACTCGGCTACGACACACTCACCATCTCTGACAACAGTTACCACGATTTCCGCCGCCATTCCACTATCAGTCTATAACGGAGGCCGAAATACGCTGTTTCAATGTCAACCCGTAATGCACACGTCACTGCGAGCAGCAACGTCTAACAACGATAGCAAAGTAGACATCAGGCAAGCACCGTTAACTGACAACAACGGTAGCCAGCAGAACAAGACGCGCAGCTCGGGTCAACACAAACGTTCCCATTTTCAAACTGGTCATTTTTTTAAATTGCAAACATGTGGGGAAGACCCCGAGGCTGAACAAGGAGAGTTGAGAGGGGATGGCGGAGGTGTTCTTCCCTGTGACCTCGTGCATCCAGTGACCGGTTTAATGCGCTCGGCGAGGCCACCAGACGAGACTTGCTTGCTCGTCCCTCTTGCTTCATCACAATGCCCGCGTCACCACCTCACCACTTCCCAGGTTGTTGCATGTCACTACCTATCGCTAGCGGTTTGTCAGGAGCCGTGCAGACAAAGGCTTCCGGGTGGCGTGTAACAATTGTTTCCTACAACGCACTTGTCGCAACAGAAGTGTTCGTTATGTGTTGCCTTATTAGGCTACATGCCGGCGGAGAAGTGTTTTATCAAACTGACGTACAAACCATCCCCATTTCGATAAGAAATAGTACAGCAAACACAACACGACCACGTTATTGTCAATATTTCAACCTCAATAATAACGCTGTAACAGTGTGTGTTTCCTGCGTTGCTTCCTCGGGGAGTG